CCTAAACCCTTAAACCCTTAAAACCCCTAAACCCTAAACACGAAACCCTAAACCCTTAAACCCTAAACCCCGAAACCCTGAAACCCCCACCGGTCCTGGACTCTTTTCAGCATCTGGGCCGCGATTTGCTCGGGCATCGACTTTGCCGAGGCGTCCTCCGGCGCTGGGGTCGAAGCTTAATGTAGGGTTTTGTAAGGGAGCTGGGTTTAGGGTTTAGGGTGTAGGGTTTAGGGTTTAGGGGTTTAGGGGTTTGGGGGTTTAGGGTTTAGGGTTTATGGGGTTTATGGGGTTTAGGGTTTATAGGGTTTATAGGGTTTAGGGGTTTGGGGGTTTGGGGCTTAGGGTTTATAGGATTTATAGGGTTTAGGTAAGACGACATGGCCCTTGAAAGTAGGCCCCTAAACCAAAAAACCCAAATGTGGGGGCCTCAATAATTAGAATAGGGCTTGAGGGGTCTAATTTACAATAAGGAACCTATAGGTAGTTATTGAGGCCCCTATATTACTTGTCTAGTATCATAGGGGAGCTAAGCCTAAACCCTACACCCAACAAAAAAACAAGGGGAACGAAAGCTCAATCTTTGGGGCTACAAAGATGGTATATAGGGACATTAGAATACCCCCAACAAGATTCCAGGATGTTAAAGCCTGCCCTATTCCGTTTTAACTTTAGGCGGGGCTGAGGGTTTGAGGTAGACACAGGGGCTGCAATACAGGTTATCTGGCTCTAAACGTGCTGGTTTAAGGGCTATGGGATTAGGGAGTCTTCCGTTTGGGCTTAGGGGTTCAAGGTTTAGGGTTTAAGGCAATAGCGGGGTTCTGGCACTGTTTTCCTCATGCGTTCTTATTCTAGTTGTTTAGACTCACGAGGCTTTCTGTGCTATGGTAGTTCTATGGATGAGGGTCTTTCATTCTTTGGATCCCTGCACAAATACGCCACGCTTAGACCAAAAATAGGAGAATTGCAAGAACTGCTCATGTAGGGCTAGGGTTTATGTCGTCTGTGGCCACTTTGTGCCTGAACAACTTAACCCCAAAATCCCGTGAATCCCCAGTCCTAAACCCTAAACCCTAAACACGGTTTAGGGTTCAGGCTTTAGGGTTAAGCTAAGCCACTAACATGAGAGCTTCAAAACATCGCCGGCCCTTCCTGGAACTGCATCGAATCCCAAAGCCTACCTCCGGAAGCTTTACCAGGAGACCACAAGCACTCGTTGGAGCGGCTTAGCAATAGGCAATGTGGGGGGTAGCAGACCCTAAACCCCTACGTAACCTTAAACCCTAAACCCTAAGCCCTAAACCCTAAGCCCCAGAGCGAAGGAACAAACCATCTTTGCCAAATGCACATCTGCCTGCACAGACTTGAGCACCTGAGGTAAGGCCGAGCTGAAAGGAGACGCAAGCCGCGCTAGCCGAATCCATTCAGTGATCTGCTGCTGCAAGGCTAGCGAGTAAGCTTGATGCACTGTGCCTGGGGCGCCAATGAACGGCCGGGTCGGGCAGTCCGGGGGGAATTGAGATCCCCGGTCAGGCTGCGCAATCAGGTCCATGTCAGAGGGAGCCAGGCGATATGCAAAGGCACCAAGCAATGGTCGTCTCGGCGTAAAGGGTGGAGCTTCTGCGACAACAGCGTGGGTGGCAGCCAGGCCAAACGCTTCTTGCGAGGTGGCGCTTCATCCACCGAACCCTAAGCCCTAAACCCTAAACCCGAAGCCCTAAACCCTAAACCCCAAGCTCTAAACCCTGGGCCCAAAGCCCTAAGCCCTAAACCCTAAGCCCAAAACCCGAAGCCCTAAACCCTTGAGGGTTGAGGGGGGGTGTCTGGACAGCAACCCTCGAGTCTCAAAGCAAATCGCTCAGGGTGCCAAGCTCAAAACTTGAGGTTTTAGGCCACGGTGGGCGGAGAGGGCTGCCTTGGTTCCTTGACCCTACTTACTTCCCCACCAAACCCCAAACCCTAAACCCTAAACCCCTAAACCCTAAACCCCAAACCCCAAAACCCCTAAACTCCTAAACTCCAAACCCCTAAACCCCTAAACCCTAAGCCCTAAACCTTGCAAGTTCAGGAAATAAAGGTTAAACTTTCAGATTAATAAGAACCCAACAAGTTTAAAGGGTGGGTATTGGGGAACTAAGCCTAAGGGTCCAAGTACCTAGTAGTCGTATATACTCTCCCAACTAGTAACCTACATAACTACTATCCGAAACCTCAGTACCTAATTATTGGGTCCTTTGGATGCTTAGGGTGATTCATGGGGTGGGACTTGTCTTGAGATGCCGACATCTTGGGCTGTCGTCCGCTGAGAGGGGTTTGCATGTTGTCTGTTTGGTCCAACACAAGGAGGCTGTGATGGTTGGTGGTGGGAAGTGTCAGGGTGTCAAGCAACTGAGCTCAAGACCTACCAAGAAGGTTTCGAACATTTCAAAACCACGTCTGCTTCCTTGCCACCCTAACCCGAACCCGAAACCCAAAGTAAGTCCAAGAGACCCTACACCCCTGAAGCCCTGAGCCGAAAAACATCGGCTTTTGTTCCGTGCCTGAGAGAAGAGAGGCACCGCCGATGGCCCTGATAGGGAAAAAGAGTAGCCGCCAACCACTGGGACCTGGCGTTTCACTTTCAGAGAAGTTTGCAAAGACTTCGTGGACCGTTGATGGACCTGGCCTTCGCAGGCTTGGAGCACGATGCAACTACATGGCTGAATCTCCCAGTTCTTCATGGGAAGCTTGACGTGTGTTTTCTTTGGCTGTGGCGCTTCAGGACTCAAGCATGCATTGCAAAAGCAACTTGTCAGCGGTGAAGCCTCGTAGTTAAGCTCCAATGCGTGGAATCACGGAACGCCAGTTGGGGGTTTCCGAAATAGGGGACCCTAACATAGTACCCTAAATAGTAGGAGCCTTATTATAAGGAGCCCCCAAATAAGGTACCCCTACTTTTCGGAAACCCTAAACCCTAAAACCTGAACCCTAAACCCTAAACCCCCTAAACCCTTAGTATAAGGACCCCCAAAATAAGGTACCCCTACTTTTCGGAAACTCCCACTTCAAAACCCTGAAGCTCAGAACCTGCTCGACCACGCAACCCGGGCACAACCCTAAACCCTAAACCCTAAACCCTCAACGAGGTCCGGGCGCTGACGTTCTCGATTGGAACATCTGTGGCCTGACCAAGCGGTTCCACCCGAAACCCTAAACCCTAAACCTAATGCACGGGCCTTAATAATTAGAATAGGGTTTTGGGGCCTATATATATATATATATATACATATATATATACATATACATATATATATATATATGTTAGGGAACCTCCCAAAAAGAGTATTGGTAATTATTTAGGCCCCTATATTAAGCCCCGAAACCCCCTCCAAGTGAGCCTCTCTTCTCAAGGGAAGAGCGGCTTTTTACATCCTCCAGACTTGTGGCTTCTCGAGAGGTCAGAACCATTGGTAAGGCTCTGATAAGTCTATTGTTGTATATATCGCCACCCCATTTTAATGAATTTATTGAGGTCCCCATAGAAATCGGCTGGATCCGCGGCTCCTCGGCACACCCTGCCTGCATGAGCACGACTCTGGGTCTTCAATTCTGCAACACACTGCAGGACTAACATCAGTAGCAAGACTGCCAGGGTAGTAGTTGGGCCAAACTATGCACCGCAGCGATCGGATCCGAATTGCTCGCCGAAATAAGGCAACCACGAAAGGCCTACGCTTCGGGATTGGGGAGATCCTCCAGTGGGTTTAGGGGTTTAGGCTTTAGGGGTTAAGGGTTAGGGGTTTAGGGGTTTAGGGTTTGGGTTTAGGGCTTAGGGTTTTGTTTATTACGGATGAAGTTTGGTACCCGAAATGCCCCAAGCGTGGAGGCCGAACCCCCCAGACAACCTGCAACTTCAAGTGTACTTGGAGGTTCATGGGTAGTTGTAAGTGGGGTTATAAGGGTTAGGGTTTAGGGTTTAGGGTTTAGGGCTTAGGGCTTAGGGCTTATAGGGCTTAGGGGTAGTTATACGTGGGGTTATAAGTAGGGTAACTATACTTATAAACCATATGAGGGGACTTCTAACCCCACTTCTAACTACCCATGAACCTCCAAGTGTAAGCAGCTTTTCCGCAGGATTCCAAGCAGAAATCTTGGAGGTCTCCAGGATGTCCCGGCAGAGGAGTGCACTCCAAGTACCCTCCAAGTACCCTTAAGGGGTATCCTCCAAGTACCCTCAAATCGGGGTAGGGGTATAGGGACGAGGGTATTTAGGGTCTAACAGAGAGT